CCGATATACTTTACTTATTATTGAAATTATCTGAACACTCATCACACCGATCATCAATACCTATATAATATCATAATGCTAAAGATCTTATTTATATACTCCCATATAAACTAACAGATATTATTTACCCCCATCAATGCAAAATCTTCGTCGATATCACCAGAATGCAACGGTTCTAGCGATGGAGGTAAGTTTCAGTTAAAGAAAAATAAAATTCGTAACTTTTTTTTTTTTGTAAAACCAAATTTGTCTAATATATAAAGAAAGGATATCTCCTGGAAAGCCATGATTATCTTGTAAATATTTTATTTCTTTTAAAATATGTAGCCTCTGATCTTGAAGTTGTTTCAAATAGTTCTGTTCTGGTGCCAAATATTCTGATTCATTGTATAAAATAATGATTTATTAAATGCATCAAGTGCAAATAATAAAATTACGAATTTAATTACTAACCAATACGTGAGGAATCATCTAGGTTATTCTTTTCTCTTATCAACTTAAATCGACGGTTTTCTAAATCATCTAGTATATGCCTTTTCAGTGCATAACGATCTGACTGAATATAGAAAGACGATAAGTAAATGCGAGAATCAGTTGAAAACTGCCAAAACTTACCAAGAATTGACGGTATGTTCTGTATTCGGATTCTTCGTATTGTCTTTGACAATGTAATTCTTGATATCGTTTCCGTGATGATGTTATCTCTGAACGCTTTCGCCGTTTCTTGTCAATTTCGTCCATACATGATATTTGATCAGGATGAACTCCTATTAAAAATGATTATTAATTAATAATATGAAGATAAATAATGCGAATATGTATTTATAAACATAAGTATTTGATAATTTATTACGACAAAATAAAGGGTATCATCGAACCTTGTTTTATTTCCGCAATTTCTTTATCAAGCTCTTGAATTTGTTCACGATATAGCCTAATAAAAATTAAAAAAAGTTAAAATTATTACTTTTATTATCTAAAGTAATAACTATTCGTTAATACACATACTGATCTCTCAGTTGTACAAAATCTCTTTCAATCATTTTTAGATCTTCTTGGACTTCAACCCGCGGTTTATCATTTTCATCGTGCTCTATAATTCAAATAAATGTGATGGGAATAAGTATATGCCGGGAAACTATGACCTCACAAATTATTTGTAACTACGCCACGCTTATATAAGGTTGTCTGATGACATTTGTACCACTTTACAACCCGGAAAATATAATGGGATGCACATGATTGCTTTTCTCTCGCATATGTCACAATGAACTTTGACAGATCAATTCGATCTTTGTTGATTTTGAAACATAATTTGCAAAAATAGTTTAAAATAGAAAAGAATCATGCCTTCTGGCTTATAGACTGTAGGTGTACTACCATCATCTTCATTTCCATTTTGGTCACGCTCATCCCAGCGTCTTTTTTTGCATATTCGATTATTTTCTGACGCATCCATTTTTGACAATGATTCATCTTCAGATGTGATGCTTGTAGTGGTGATGTTAGAAATTTTAAGCTTTGGATCGTCATTCAATAAGGACGGCGATTCTGATAGCGAACTCATTTCGGATGAATCGTTGGGCGACGTCGGGCTGTCCAATTTATCTGATATTTTGTTGTCTGGAGAATCACTGCCAGCGTGCTGTATTGTAGTACCATTAGACTCTTTAATTACGTCACCATTTGTCTCCTCTTCGGCGACAACTTTCCAAGCCTTAGATTTAAGGCCATTCTTTTCTGTTTTTGTCTGCTCCTCTTTTTCAGAATCGGAAGGTTTTCTTACTTCACTTTCATTATCAGTACTAATTTGACTATTAGATTGGGCCCTTGCTTCCTTTTCAAATGGAAATGTTGACCCGGCTTTAAAAAGTTCTTGATTGTCGGATTGCTTATCGAGTCTTTTGTCGAGGGAACGACTCATTGATGTAGATGTTTTCAACATCAGGTCGGGAGCTTGCGGGGACTATACACGAAAAAGAATGCGTAGAGTTTGGAATTTGAAAAAGAGTATAATCAATAAGTAGATTTTATTTGGTGCAAGCAAAAAAGTTGGTTTACAGAAGATAAAAAGAGAACAGCCTAACAGACAAAATAATGAGCATGTGGGAAAACTGCGTGGTACTCAATAACATTTTATGACGTATAATATTCCGAACACAATAACTATACATAAAATGCAGGAGCAAACTAAGCCACTGATTCATATTCATGACACACAAAAGTTTGTGCATATGTACTTAAGATGATGAGCTGATATCAGATATTTTTTGTAATTATATTTTAAAATGTCTGAATACGTGCCCGGTTCTTTGGCTCAATCTTTACTGAAGAAACAAGCGCCTTCAATAGATAATGAACTTGATATCTTATTCCAAAATAATGTAGGTTCATACATACGCAGAATTTTAAATTATCCTAATTCAACTTTGCGAGATATACTTCCTTTTTACTCGACAGATAGGTCAAGCCAAATCTAAAATAAATTTGGAAGAAAAAACAGTGACAAATACAAAAAGCCACACAAAAAACCATACAATAATTGAAGAAAACAGTGAAATTGGTCGCAAACGTAAAAAAAAAAAGACCTTAAAAAATATTTCTCACGATGGCGGCATACAGGTTGATTCTTCAGAAAGCAAGAAAGAGGGTGGATTCAAAAAGAAATCGATTGAAGAATTATACGAGATGAAATTAGTCGAAGAATCAGAAAATGTAAGTTGACTAATTGATTTTTATTTTTCGTTTGAAAACTCGGATATTGGTCTTAATTATTTAGGAAATTATAATTTCAGCACCCTTTTTTGATAATGCCACACCACCGCCGATCATGACATTTACCTGATCAAATTCGACAAACTTTTTTTTTTTTTTGAGTTCTACAGATTTCTACAATTAAAATAAAAAAAAGCTCATCGAATTTGGACAGGTAGTCGTCGAGATATCTTCGATCAAAATATTGCAAATTTAACGTCTATCAAATAGAAGCCGCGTTGCTGGTTGCGAAATTTTGATCGAAGATATCTCGACATCCACTCGACTAAATTCGATGAACTTTTTTTTCTTTGAATTCTACAAATTTCTACAATTAAAATAAAAAGACTTCATCAAATTTAGTCAGGTAGTTGTCGAGATATCCTCAACCAAAGATTTTGTAAATTTTGAACGTCTATCAAGTAGAAGCAGCGTTGCAGATTGTTGTGAAACTTTGATTGAAGACATCTCGGCATCCACCTGATGAACTTTTTTTTAAAATTCTACAGATTTCTACAATAGTTCAACGAGTTTGATTAGATGTATATCGAGTATCTTTAATTAAAGTTTTTAAAAAAATTAAATAATTAGAATGATCGGCGAGGGTATGGCATTATCAAAAAAAGGGTGTGGAAATATCAATTTCCATTATTTAATGTCGCTTTTTTAGTCTTCATTATCAAAAATCAAACGGAAAACCTCTCATGGCCAACCTGAAGAAGCAAATTTGTTTCACGAAACTAATTTTAAGCGTAAACGTTCAGAAGAAAAAACAAATCCTTCAAATAATAAAAAGGTGTCAGAAGATAATGAACTCGATAATATGCGTGCCGAAAAACGTATAAAGGCTACCATACATGGCACGAAAGATGAAAACGGAAAAATCAAAACTACTAATAATTCGACAGAAATTACGACAAAAGAAAAGGAGGATCCTGAACGTTTACAGAAAACGATATTTATTGGTAATCTTCCTGTTTGTGTAATTAAAAAGGTAATTATAATACTTTTCCTATGTATTCTTGATTGTTTATTTTTCATTTATTTTATTTTTTTTTTATTATAATAGGCCAATAGCAAAAAACTGAAGGTCTATTTTTCTAGATTTGGACGAATCGAAAGTATTCGGTTTCGATCGATTGTAAGTGTTAAGCTAAACTTATCGATGTAATATTCAATTCTTCTAAAACTAATTTTAAATTTTAAAGTCATTTTCTGAACAACTCCCTCGGAGAATTGCCTTTATCAATAAAAAGTTGCATCCTGAACGAGATGTTCTTAATGCATATATCGTATTTAAAGAGAAATCTTCTGTTCAAGGTGCACTCTCTATGAATTCACAAATTTTTATGGGAAAGCATTTACGAGTAGATTCTGTAGCTGATCCACAGGTTTGTATTATAGCTTTGACACACTAGTTCTTAGGACCCGGGCATTGCCCGGGTTTGAGTTCCTAATTTTCTCAGGTCTGGGTTTAAATAAACCCGGATTAGGTTCAAATGAACCCATCTTAGGTTCAAATGGACCCGACTTGGGTTCAAATGGGCCCGTTTTTGGTTCAAATGGACCCAGCTTGGGTTCAAATGAAGCAAATCTGACTTGAGCTCTATATTTTATTTATTTATTTATAAATCAATATATTTTTAATCTTTCGTTTTTTTCCTAATTGATCGTTTCATTTTTCTTCTAATTTATCTTTTTTTTTCTTCTAATTTATCATTTCTTTTTTTTTTCTAATTTCTTGTTTTATTTTTTTTCCTCTAATTTATCGATTCGTTTTTTTTTTCTCTTTAACGGTTTTTTTTTCTTTAATTTAACGGTTTTTTTTTCTTTAATTTAACGGTTTTTTTTCTTTAATTTAACGGGTTTTTCAACAGTTGTTTTTTTTCTAATTTAATTTTTTAGTTCTTTTCTTTTCCTTTTTTTTTTCTTTTTTTAAGAGCAAAAGTCACGTGATCTTGCCACTTTAAAAATCTAATCTCGGTCACTATTTTTAAAAAAGTAACACGCCCATGAAATACCCCTGATTACGCGGGGGCATTCGTGTACAACACTGCAAAAATAGTGACCGAGGTTAGCATTTTATAAGTAGGACACAAATTTATAAATATACTGTATATATGCTGTATAATTAACATATCTAATAATTGTTTGTAGAATCATGATAGGAGACGGTCAATTTTTATAGGCAACTTGTCATTTGATGCAGAAGAAGAGATGCTTTGGAACCATTTTGAAAATTGTGGTGAAATTGAAAACGTTAGAATCATAAGGGATAGCAAAACAAATGTGGGTAAAGGCATTGCATATGTTCAATTCAAGGTGAGTTTATTGATTTATAAAAATTACTGAATGTAATTAAATAAGAACTAACAATATAACTAATATTTCAGCAACGTTCTTCAGTTGAGCTCGCACTTAAACTTAACGATACTAAAATTGGAACTCGAAACATTCGTGTTTCAAGATGCGCGAAGACAAAACAGATCGATACTGGTAAACGTTCTTTTGGCATTCGTGCTCATGGTAAAAAAAACGGTAGGTAAGCAACGCAATTGTAATCACGGGCATTCCTGCTACAATAATAAATTGGCTAAATAAGAAACTGAGCTTAAAATCAAATACAGTAGTTTGTGTTTATTGCAAGTAGTACAAACAAATTAATTGGTTAATTACAAACCCAAGGTAGTACGAGCCAATAAACTAGCATAAATTTTAAAACGAAGATACTAATTAAGAATCTTAAAGTAATACTGTACCTGCTATTAAAGGTCTGATCTAATGAATAGCATATTCGAATATTCGAAGTATAATTGTTTCGAACATAATTCGAAAGAAAAATAATATTTATTATTAAATGAGTTCTTACATAGTAAACAAATTATGCTGTACTACGGTATTACAGTATTAAATTATATATCACGTGAGCCAAGATAACCAATATCGTTAGTATTTTTTTTTAGGAATCCAGACATTCAACCCTTTAAACTTTATTACAATGTTAAACAGCATGAGAATCAAGATCAGATAGATGCTTTTGATATATCCACTTCATTATTATCACCGATTTTTTTCGTTTCCTCTGTTTTTTCCATTTCATCCGTTTTTTCCATTTCATCCATTTTTTCTATTTCATCCATTTTTTCCATTTTTTTCATTTCATCCGTTTTTTCCATTTCATCCACTTTTTCCATTTCATCCACTTTTTTAATTTCATCCGTTTTTTTCATTTTCGTATTTTCGGTTTCTTCCGTCTCTTCTGTTTTTTCAACTTTTTCTATTTCTTCCGTTTTTTCCACTTCCATTTCATTCGTTTTTTCAGTTTCATTAGTCTCTTCCGTTTTTTCAATTTCTTCCGTTTCTCCTATCTTTTCAGTTTCGTCTGCTTCTATGGATTCTTTATCAGTTTCAGGTTCTTCATTTTGTTCGGATGACTTTTTCTCTAAGACGTGTTGCAAGTAGTCGAAAATTGAATTGACAGCAATACTAGCGGCATATTCATGCTTTGGGTGTCCTTTTATGTATTCATAACAAGTTAATACTATGATTGTATAGTCTTAAAAAAAAATAAAAAAGATGAAAATTTTACCAGCTGAAAGGCACCGACATCCATAATATTTCTTTGCTTGTGGTACCTTCGAGTCCAAAGGTAATTCAGACTTGATCCAATTAATTGTATTCTTTTCGAACCAATTTCTGGAATGTAAAGGAACCATTGAAGCACTATGAACGCTGTCTGCAAGCGCGACGCCGGCAACACGAGATTTAAATTCATCAGCTAAGTGAAGATTGTTAACGTCAAATTGTTAATGGACATAATTCACAATGAAACCAACGAGTGTTACAGAGTGAAAACCTATAATTATTTACAATGATTTGAGTGTGAAAACCTGTGAACATTTAAGTTTTTACAGTAGCGAACTTAACCCCTGAAGAATTATGATATTATATAGGTATTGATGATCGGTGTGATGAGTGTTCAGATAATTTCAATAATAAGTAAAGTATATCGG